ACAGCACCTGGTAATACAAAGAGGTCACCCATCTAGGCACTGACCAGGCTCAACGTTGCTTAACACCGGTGTTCGCACGGGGACTGATGTTTCACCGTGATATGGCCATAAGCCGTGCCCTATTTAAGAAATACACATCGCTTGTTATGAAAGTAAAAGATGAAAATTTTCTTACAGTGCGCCCGGGCGCAACGGTCAACCAAAGAAATGAAGAGGTTTTTGAAAATGCCTAACGAAGGTTGGTGAATTTGTCGGAAAATAGTGTTTTGTAGCCGAAAAATCATGTTCTATCCAACAGTGTCACTGTACTCTCTGTAACTTGTACGTTTTCGTGGAGAAAAAAAAAAGCCGCCATTATGTTCAGGGCGTGGCTTGTGTAACATACGTCACTTTAAATAATAGCTTCTTATCTCTATCGGCTTCACCTGGAAATTAAATGTGTCACTTTATTTCTCCATAATATGAAATAAAACGGATTTTTTTTCTTTTAGAATTGATAAAACGGAGTTTGTAGAAAGTAGGGCAAAAATCGTGAAGACATAAGCTTAAGTGGTCGTACAAGTCAGTTGCTTTTAAAGTTGAATGTTCGAAAAATGCTGTTTACAATGCCATAGCGATCTAGAAAACAATTCTCGGTTATTTAGATAAGTCTAGATCTTGACAATCGAGATAAAACACCTGCCGAATGAATAGGTGCATTTAGTATCTTTCGACAACGAATTGGAAAATTGATGTCACTATAATAAATATACCTAGAAAAAAAGAACTTGCGGATCATGGGACGTGTAGCTTCTTGAAAGAATACATAAATAGGAGGTGAATAGCCCAATGACAGCACAATGGGCTTAATCGAATTTCAGAAGCATTAGTTTTTATGGTCTTTGCCTATTCTACTAATGGTTTGATGGTCATTGCCACTTCTGCTAATGGCTTTATGGTCATTGCCTCTTCTACTAATGGTTTGATGATCATTGCCTATTCTACTAATGGTTTGGTGGTCATTGCTTCCTCTGCTAATAGTTTGGTGGTCATTACTTCTTCTTCACATGGTTTGATGGTCATTGCCTCTTCTACTAATGGTTTGATGACCATTGCCTATTCTACTAATGGTTTGATGGTCATTGCCTCTTCTACTAATAGTTTTGTCACTTCTAATGGTTTGATGATCTTTGCATCTTCTTCACATGGTTTGATGGTCTTTGTCATTTCTTCTGATGGTTTTTTGTTTGTCGTTGCTTCTTTTTCTGATGGTTTGATGGTCTTTGACTCTTCTTCTAATGGTTTGATGATCTTTGCCACTTCTTCTGATGGTTTGATGGTTTTTTGCCTCTTCTTTTGATGGTTTGGTGATCTCTGCGTGTTCTTCCGGTGGTTTGATGGTCTTTACCACTTCTGATGGTTTGATGGTATTTGCCTTTTCTTCTGATGGTTTGATGGTCAGTAGCTCTTCTCCTAATGGCCTTTGCCTCTTCCACTAATGGTTTGATGGTCTTTTCATACTATTTTTATGTTATTAGTAGGCAAAGAATACCACCAATACTACATCGGTTCCACTCAGAGGAATGTTCTTGGTATGGTGTTATATATCAGTAAATGCTAGCGGTCTTAAGATAATTATACACTAGTCTTATTTGAAAAATATTGAATATGGGTAAAATGTCATACTCAAGATCATATGATTTGTTAAATTGTGTTTGCGTGTGTGTGTGTGTGTGTGTGTGTGTGTGTTTTAAATATGATAGCTACCCGTATGTGCTGGTAGGGTAACGGACATCGGCGAGCCTTGTCCTAATTTCAGGCCAATCATATTCGCATTAACGTCTTGAGAAAGGCATAAATCTATCTCTTCGGCTAAAGCAGGGGAGACTGGGTTCTATAGCATTAGTTGGCAACTAGTCTAAGAGAAAGAATAGACTTAATTTCAAACCATGGAAAAAACAGCGGGAAACCACCTCTGTATCTTTCCCACAAGTGTCTGCTAATTCATAGATAAAAAAGAAATAAGTAGCTGTTCAAAAACACGATTGCCTGCGTGTTGAAATGACAGAGTATTTAATGATAAAGCAGAAATTCTGTCAGAGTTGTTGCATTGAACATTGAAGACAATGATATTAATGTCATAAAGTGATAGCTCAGTCGTCTGAGTTTTAGATCAAGTCCGAAAATAATAATAATTGTAATACTAACAGTTTCCTTATGAGGAAACATTCGGTATTTATTGACAGTCGGTTGAAATTTATAAAATCTTTCTCTTAAAACAATTTCGAACGGAAATATGTTTCTCAAGTCAAGTATATGTTATCACTCTTTCCAGTTTTCTAGCCTTTTCTTTGAAGTATTGTGGAAAATCAATATCTCGATTATGCTTTTGGCTTATTTGTTCTATCCATTTTAGTTGTTGCTGTTGTTAAAAGTCTTCAAGTGATGTGCATTCTGTTATTTGGTAGATTTCTTTTCTTTGTGATTCTGTAGTGACAGACCACGGGGTTGGCCCACCTACAGATGTCATTCGCTCGAAGCAATTGTTTAATCATTGATCTGAGAAGTCAGTCGTATGAAACTGACAGTTAAGATATTTCTGAACAAGTTTGGCGCCATGTCTGACATCCATAGAAAAATCTAGATCTGACAGGCTATTTAAGAACCCGACTCGAGTTTTTATGTTAATATTTTGGTTTTGTAGCAACTTCCTGTCTTGGGCGGAACTATCCCTAGCAAGGATTATTTCATGTTCAATACTCTGATACTAATTTTTTTATAACATACACTGAGGTATTTGAAGTGTTTAGGATTTACTAATTATTAATCCAAGACTATACCCGTATGTGGTGGTAGGGTAATCGGCGAGTCTAGTCTACATTTCAGGCCAATTATATTGAATGAACGCCTTGAGAAAGGCATAAATCTATCTTTTCGGCTAAAGCAGGGAAAACTGGGTTCTATAACATTGGTTGGCTTATAGTCTATATAATGGATTTAAGGAATGTTTCGTCATTGATTTAATTCTAATTCCAGATCATAGTTTTGGAAAAGTGTATCGTAAGTCCATTTTTTGGAAAAATTGATAGAGAATTAAGGACTTAAGATAACCGTTTCCAAAACAAAATTTGGAATTGGAATGAAAGCGATGAGTGCACGCGCCCTCAACACAATAATTAAACAAACGTTAATAACAATGTGGTAGTCTGTTGGATATAAATCACACTGCAATTCAATAAGGGATTTACTTGCGTAGACGCTTATATACATATATTTTTTAATCAATTCATTCCAAGCAAGGTGATAAATCTACTAATACGCAAGGTCTTACTGAGAGTTAAAGAGAATGAAAAAACTTGAGAAGGAACCGGAAACCGAATCCTAAACAGGAAACTGTGATCCGAACGATAAGTGAATCTTTCTACACCTATGTCTGTCTTTTCCTTCCCTATTTCTTTCTTTCATTTTCTTTCTGATATTTTTATTTCATTACACCGGTCTTCTTTTAAGTCTTCCCTTCTCTTTTTTTCTTTCTCTCATTTCCTTCTATTTCTTTCTTTTTGCTCATACATTCATTCTTTGTTCCTCTTCAATGCATACATCTTTCTATTCCGTGTCTTCCTATAAAACTGTCTTTATTCTCTTCACTTCCTTTCCTTCTCTTTCTTTACTTTTCTATGTTTACACATTTATTTTCTTACTTTTCAATTCATCCTGTCTTCATCTAAATCTTTTTATTTCTTTTCTTTCTTTAGGCGAATCTATCTACTCTTATTAAAATTCTGTATTAATAATTTCTTTTACTCTATAACATGTTAACAAACATTCATTTTATGGCGTCATCGGTAGGATGTTTAAGTCGCTTGAATGAACCTGAATTTGTCGTGACTTGCATCCGGTGTTTTGCAGCCCAGCCAGAGGTTAAAAGATTGAAAGTCCACAAGGCAAAAAGGGGAGAAAATTAAATAACTGACTTCTTTCTAGATTTGGCAGGTTATGAAGCTATAATGAAAATTTCTGTTATAACATTTCCTAAACAATTGGAGAATTTGTCTTTCGTCGAAATTTCAGATATTATAAAAAGGAATTTACGACCTAAAAAGAAAGTTGTCATAGCGGAAAGAACGAAATGTTTCTCCAATAAACAAAACCAAGTTGAATCAATTATACGATATCTTCACAGATTAAAAGAAGCTAGCAGATAACTGAAAATATGAGAAACTTGAAACTCAAGATTTGGCTATTTAGGGTGAATTGATTCAGTTACAGTTGATTGAAGGAATGGCTGAGACATTTCATAAATATAAGATATTGGAACAATTACAATTCAATAATGTGTCTAACTGCATGTGTGCAAGTTATACAGAAGCTGGAATTGATTAAAAATATAATTCTACTGAGGACAATGTTAAAAAGAACGCAGGAAATTTAAATACTGTAAAGTGCCACTTTTTTGGAAAAAATGTGCAATAACTGCCGAAGAAAGAATCGTTTTCGGTCCGTATGCCAAGTTAAAAAGAAAATAGTCAGTATAAAAAAAAAAGTGGAAAAAGAGAGAATTTACGACTTTTTTTTCAATACAAACCCTAAGGAAAAGAATTCTTCAGAAAAAATTGAATGAAATGGCATGACGATATTCAGTCACCCCCCCCCCACGAGGGTGTCATGTGGCACAAGGCCTTTTTAACGTGGGCATTCCGAGCCCGTGGGCTCGGCCAAAATTATGCCCATTGAACCCGTATAAACGGGTTCAGGGCCGGTTTTACCTCCCCGAAGGAGATTCCGCCCTTCGGCGTAGCCTCCTTCGGGTTCCTCCCGTCCGTAGGAAGAAAGTACAACCAAACAGTCGCTCAGAAAGTACTGGGTCGACTGACTGAAATGGCATGACTCTTCCAATGCAAGTGAATACGGAGATTGAAGTCACTCTGATTCCCCCAAAATTTCTGCGAACAAATGAGTAAACCGAAATTACTAAAAAGTCAACTTAAACTAAGACAGTTTAGCGAATATTTTATAAAAATTTTGGGATACTTCAATGAAACTTTTGAAACCTGTGGCCTATTTGAAATTATTTCCATTACAGTAGTGGAATGTAAAAGCATTCATGGACTATGAGGTATAGATATTCTCAA